CGTCATGCAGCATACCTGGTTGTCATGGTTACCAATACCAATAGTGTAACACTATGGCCGTATGGACTTTTTACCTCTCAACCATATAAATCATTTACATGTATATACATTCAATTTTTTCACGAAACAATTAACGCATCCAACAAGGCAATGATAAATTTTGTCTTATTTCGCCCGAGATTAGCCAACATGTATTTTTATAATAAACAGTTTAGTAATTTGTGTGGCTGCTCAAAAGTTGTTGGATTTAATTCCAATATACAAGTATCATTGACTATACAAGTAAAGTTGCCTATACAAGTACCATTGACAATATACAAGATACTTCAATTGAATTGAAATGGAAAAGAAGATTTGACTTTTTCTTATGATACGTTAGAAGCTTGCACTATGGGATAAGTGGTCAGGGTATTTACATTATCGATGTCGAGTCATAGAGTAAATTTGGATTTAACATGTTAGATGTTAGAATCGTTTGTACACGTGGGAGGGTAAGGTGTGCGTGTTTGTGTGTGAATCAAGTCTGGAAAAGTGGTCAAATTTGACGTAAATTCGTAATGGTTACCTCTAAGGCTCTAGACATGGCAAATTGTAATAGAGTTTGCTTCGCATCTCAAACTCATAACTCTGTATGTACTTACTGCTTGTGATCGAAATTCAAAACTGCTGTTCGTAACTTGACCTCCGGGGCCGGGCTTCTCGCCAATTTCGTGTCTTTGAGTCAACCAGGATTTTTTTATTAGTTTCCTACTTTATATATAAATTTATTACTATTTTACACGCCGTCATAATTAAAATGAAGTAAGCTGCAGTCTGCACTGCTGCAGCTTATACACATTTTTGCTTAAAATAACAATTTAACTGTGAATGAAACTTGGGTATGAAACTGAAAGACAATTCTGTAATGTAAGAAGACTCTAGACTCTAGATGTAATGTAAGAAGACTAGACTCCAGTCAAGGTCTAGCCTAACCCGGCTAACCATCCTAATGCAGCTATAAACTTGATTTCAGTGTGCACTCATCTTCTCATTTGAGGAAAGAAAGGTGCTATTGTGCTTGGCTTGTCATGTCCATCTGTGACTTTACTTCCTTCCATGACTTCAGACTTCTGACTTCACAGACTAACAGAAGAGAAAATGCACTCACTGTCACTCACAGTCTCACTGTAGTCAGGGCTGGAAAAGTCCTATTTTATTCTAAAATATTGCAGCTCTAATAACTAATATCATATAATTTCAATACGTATGAAATGTCATGGCTCTAATGTCATAAATTTTTGTTTGATTGGAAAAATAGCTGTTTGCACTTCGCAAACATGTTGTTTCATACGATTTTCAACTTCTGCAATCCACACTCCACAGTATAGGTATATACTTCAAAGTTCAATGCTCCTGCCTTCCGCCAAAATAACATGCAGAACGTAATAACAAGTCAACTCAAAACTTTTCATCTATGATTAGATTTAGATTGCGTAGTTGCGGTCACATCAGATGGTCAGGGACTAGGGGTGCCGGGGGTGGTCATACTGCATTATCACTTGTTCAGTTGCCACTTGAGTGAAGACAAATGCTAGTGGCTGTTTTTTCTATGGGACATTGTAATTTTGTAAATAACATGGGACTTTGTATGAATATGACTTTGTAAATAACAAGTTTGTGGGTCATAAATGGCTTGTGGCCAAGATATGGAATTCATGGCTGATGGCTCAAAGACATGGAATCACAGCTGGCAAACCCATGAAGCCATGGTTTGAAAAACCCAGTCGCGGCATGCCAAGTATATTGTAATGATCTTTTGTGCCAAAGTTCAATGAAGAGCTCTCAATTAACACAATTACTTTAATTTTAATGAAAAGTGAGCACTTAAATTACAAACCTTAAACAAAGATAATGTGAACATATGCCATGGTCAGGAAGATGTGCCAGGTGCACGGGAATTTATTGTCATTTTAACAACCTGCGCGGTGCGCCGTACTACGTTGGTAAAAAAATGCACCGTGCGAAGTACTTTAGAAAGCTAAAATAGTTCTACTATTTTAGTCAACAATATATGCGATTATATTGACTACGTGAGTCGAACTGACAATAATAAAATGTAAGACATGTCCGGGTTACTTCTGATTCTTCCGGTTGTCCGCCTTGTCGGATACGGAACGTACCATAATCGTAAACTGCGTCTGTTATACATATGAAATGTAAACAGACCGTTACAGACGGTGTTCAGTGTTGCCATATGACTTTGGAGAAAATTTCTTCTAAAATAAAGATGGCTGGGATTGTGTGAACACGTGCGCAAAGATAATCAATTTTCATTACATTGCGCCAACTGTGCACAGCAATAGCTTAAAAAAGTTAAAATGCGCAGGAAAATTCACCGAAAACATACATCATCCTGAGTGTGGAACATATGAGCATAGGGACAGGGCACACTGCACAGAACTGTTTCTTCATTCATATGCTAGGGCACAGCACAGTAGATGTTGTTCCTCACAACACAGTAGTAAATTTGGATAAGCACAACACTGAATCTTCTGAATACCAGCCTCTCAACCCTTGTGATTTTCTATCTGGGTTGACTTCTCTCTACATGAACAAAATGAAATTTACAATCAGTTGGATAATTTCCCTACTAGATATCTTGCCTAGTATAAACAAACTGATAATAATTACATATAGATAAATATCGACAGTAGAATAACTCCACAACTCTAGAATATTACACGTACCAGTACCTCTGCAGTTGTCTGAATTCACAAACTAGTTCTTGCTTATGTCCCACAACAAGTCTGCTCTGAATTTGTATTTCGTATACTGCTACAAGATGATCAACACTTTAACTTATTCTGCGTTCCACACATTGGTTACTATTGTTCTTATTCTCCCTCTGTTTCCCTAAGTACTCTTGAATATTATGCTAAGTTCCCTACATTGATATATTCCATGCCTGATTGCAATGAGTACAGATATAATTTTTAGACTCATTCTCAAGTTGATTTCTGAGTCCTATGTGTAGACCAGCAAAAAGGACAATAAAAACAAAAATACTTCAATGACTGTTGTAATTTTCTCATTTGAGAATACAATGTCAATTTCCCAATTTTTTTCATACAGTCTTGAAAATGACATCGGTTAAATTGCAACCCCCATTGCTCATGCACTGTTGAAGTCTGTTTTTGAAATTTGTATCAACTCTTTGCAGCTTTTCATCTGGTATGTTGGCAAAGGCATCATGAATGTTGTTCTTTGGGTGTGCTATGGTCCATGGTTGATCGACAAAAACCAGAGATTTCAAATAACCACATAAAAATAAATTGCATGCAGTCAAATCTGGAGAGCATGGCTGCCATTGGAGATTGCCTCTGAGAGAGATGAGGCAGTCGGGAAAATGTTGTCACAACAAATTCATTGAGTCTTGTACTGTGTGTGCTGTGGCTCCATCTTGCTGAAACCACACTTTCCTAACGTTCATCTCTGAGTCTTGGAAGAAAAAATTCCTCAATCATGTTCCTGTAACAAGCTCCATTAATGGTAACTGCGCATTCGTTTTCTTAAAAAATAAGGACCAATTATTCACATTACCAACATTGCACACCAGACAGTAACTCGCTCACAGTTAAGTGGCTTCTGGTGAAGCTCACATGAATTTACACCACACAATAACGCATGTTTTGCTCATTGATGCAGTCCAAAATGTGGAAGTGAGCCTTGTCACTGAAAAAAAATGACCATGTCTTCAGGCAGGTGGTCAACCAGAATTTCACATGCATTTTGGCAGGCAACAAAATCGCATTCAGGTAATTCTTGCACAACAGCAAATTTATTTTAGAAACAAACATGGGAACTTTTCTCTTCAGTGGCACCCTCTCTCTCCCCTCTACCCACCCTACTCACCATACAGGAATTTTTTCAAATAAGTAAGTTTATCTGGTGCACTCTGTACATCATGGATACCAGCATTTTCATACATAAGATATTGTTTTATATAATAACTTTATATCCTAAGTCCATAAGGAAATTGAAAACAGATTACCTGTAAAAAATCTCTGGTTTGCTGATATTTTCACCCATTTTTACTCTCCTCTAAAAAACTTCAATGAAACATAATTAGTCACTTGGCAAGTTGGAAGATAGGTACTGCCTTTACTGCATTACATTGTCAAATATGGTCAAAACTGCCATATGTACAGTATAATGTAGGGTTCTATAGTACTAAAATGAACCAGGCATGAAATATATCTGCTTGGTGAGCCACGATTGAATTTTTGGAGCTGTGGTTTTTTGGATTTGCCAGCCGTGATTCCATTTCTTCGAGCCGTGATTCCATTTCTTCGAGCCGTGATTTCATTTCTTTGAGCCATGATTTCCATATCTCAGCCATTAAAAGCCATTTATGAGCCAGCAGCCACAAACTTTTTACTAAATCCCATGCATGTGTTTAGTGTTACCCCTTATCTCTAATTTTACTCTAAAAACAGTTAACACTAATATTTGTCTTCACTTGACTGGCAACTGATCACATGATAATTCAGGCTGACCGCTCTGATATTACCTACCGCAACTATGCAATCTATTGAGAAACATTTTAGGTTGACTTGTTGTTGTTTCTTTGTGCAGGATATTTTGGCGGGATTGTTGAAAAAGTGTGGATTGCAGAAGTTGGAAATTTTATGAAATGACATGTTTGCGGAGTGCAAACAACGATTTTTTCAATCAAACAAAAATAAATGTCATTAAAGCCACAAAATTTCATACCTACTGAAATTATATGATATTAGAGCTGCGAATAAATACGGTCAGAATAAATACGGTAGAACTTTTCCATCCCTGTAATAAACCATGCATAGTGGCAAAGCAGAGACTTTTTTAGACTCTTCCTCCAGTTCATTTTTAGTCTTATAAGGACTTATACACAAAGTAGACCCCTGGGCACTGAGCATTGTGACTACTAAGATATTTGGACCATGCTGGAAAGATTTGGTCCAGTTTTTTTTATGTAAAGTAGATTGTTTCTATTGAAGTGCAGTTGGTTTGTTTTACTGACCAAAAAATCATTCTACTGTTTGCTTCATTTCCTGCAGCTGCACCAATACTAATGCTATAGCAATCCCTTGTTTTTCAATGATCTTAGATTTATCATCCATGAAATTCATTCTAAAAATTAATAAGTACTTCATTCAAAAGGAATTACAATGGATGACTTATTAGATATTATAACTTAGAATGTTTTTATTGAGATACAGAGATGAGGATACATTTATGTTGGTTCTAGTATGTATGTGCATTTACAAAATTTTATTAAACTTACATTTTTTCAGTGTAAATAGTTTTAAGTTCTCAACTTCTCACTAGTATAGAAAAATGAGCACTGTAAAGGTGAGTGAGAGAAACTAGATCTGGGTGAAAAAAACCATCGCTGGGAGTCATGTGCTGCACGTGTTGTGTACAAATCGTCAAACAAACGTTAGAACTTCTGACATTGACTTCGGACTATCGCCCCCCTACCGCCCTCTTCTTCCTTATCGCCCCCAAAATTTTTCCACCGCCCCTAGGAGGGCGATATCGCCCACTTTGGGAACCACTGCTCTAAATTTATTTTTATATTACTTGCATCATACTTTTGAAATATATTTTTTTTTGTCAAGCATAATAATGAATTATGACAGACAGGGTTAGAAATTTCCTACATAAGAATGAAATCTTGTGGCTCCAAAGTGACAATTTTTCATTACATATGGAAACTTGCAGCCCAATTGTGCACTTTTAATAATAATTGGAAAGGAAGTAATTTATTTTGGGGGAATCTTGCAACTCCTAAAATGCCAGGAAAGCTTCAGTTGCAACTTAAAAGGTTGATATATTCCATGCCAGGTGACAGAGATTTTAAGTGATATGTAGCAGATAAAATTATTCTTTCTTTAAAAATATTAAATCAGGATGCTGATGATGACCTAATTCACCTTGATACTCTACTCAGGTTGGAATTCTAGGATAGTGCCTAAAGTTTCATTTTTGGGCATATGAATGTTCATCTCCAGGCTGTGATTGATTGTGATGTCAACCACTCCATACTGTGTTTGGTTATAGATTGTGATGTCATCCTCTCCATACTATGATTGGTTGTGTGATGGACATTACAATATGCTGTGTTTACTGGTTAATTTAATGCCATCAAAGTAACATGACCATGTTATGACCATGGTTGTTATTGTCATGCCTGAGGGTGTTCAAATTTTTTTGTTGATTGAATTGTGCTTGACACTTATCCCAATCATTTCCAAATGATGTAATTTCTGTTCATTTTCATCATACAAATCTATGCAGGCATGAATTATATCTACCTATCCAGCCATGACTAGAACTTTCCAGATATTTATGAAGCCACAAGCTTCCTGATAGATGATTACTTCCTATCTTATTGTTGATACAGTACAAAATTAGGCCACAAGATTCCAAATGTATTAAACATTTGTCAATTTAGAGCCAAGAGTTTTCAGTAACGAGTCAGAGTTCAAATTTTGAATCTATGGTTTAGCATTTCTCAGGTATTTTCACGCAATAAGCAGTTTTTTTTCAGATGAATTTTGTGAATTAGGCATTGCTTAAATAATTAAACTTATTTATATATTTCAGATTGGTATCATTGGAGGCACTGGTTTGAACCAACCTGATCTGTTCACCCCAGACAAACCTGACGAGCAAGTTGTGACTCCGTTTGGAGATCCTTCAGACACTCTGCAGCATGGCACCATTGCTGGTGTCCCATGTGTGCTCTTGCCCAGGTATGGCTCTGTTACAATAAAATATTTGTCTTTTATGATTATTCTTAAATTAAGTAAGCCCCATCAAATCTTGGTACAGGGTGATGCACAGAATCTTCCTGATTTGATAGATCAATAAAAAAGAACTAGTAAATATATCATTACAATTTAAATTTTGTTGAAAAAGACATTACCTCAATTTTTGTATCACTTAGTTTTAAAGATTACATTTGACTAATGATGGCCCTGTTGTCAATGCATTCAGTTAGTTGTTTCTTAAGTTTTGTTCCACTTGCTGAAGCATATTGAGAGGTGTATTGGCAATGGCTTGGTGTGTGTTGTTCAATGAGATAGGTCTTTGAGGTAACTAGACCTTACCAAAAGACCCTACCAATGAGGTAAATAGACCCTACAAAAAGACCCTACCAATGAGGTGGGGTCTTTGGACAGTTATTGTAAATAATTGATTTGAGATGACCCTATTAAAAAAATCTCATGGAACCAAATCAAGGGATTAGGCCAGATTTCTGATCAGGAACCTAACTTGAAGGAAAAATATGGAACCAAGTCCGGAAGGCTTGTTGAATAGCAACAATAGAATGGCCATTAGACAAGTACGTATGCCTCAACAGCAAACGCACGCTGCTCACTGGTCCGGTACATAGTGGCAATTGATTAGGTGGGACACAAAACTTCATTACCTTGTCTTTCATATGAAATACTCCCTGCCCTTTTCCTGCAACATCTGGCTGCTTAGTTCAAAATAGAAAAGGGAAGTTTCCACAAACCTGAAAGGGACTAGCAAAATTTTCCATGTATGCTGTATCATGACCTGGAATTATTAGTAAAATTTTTTGTTGGTCACCATTTGTGAGAGTTACGAATCTATGTGAATCACATGAGGGACTTTTATGAGGATTTCCTTATTTTTTTGAGGATGATATGAGGATTTGTTTATTCTTGAGGATATGAGGATTTGCTAATTTTCTTATTCTCAGGTTGTGTTGAAAACTTACTATATCATTGGTAACTATTGAATATATTGATACTTTTGCACCCTGGGGTTGGCAAATCTAAGTTCATTCATATTATTTCATGCCACTATATTCCACCATTTCTATTAGAACTGTGACTCAGAAATTGTATTATATTTTTCAACTACACCTCATTTCTGATAACCATTTGCTAGTATCTGTGTTCCAGTTCATTTTTAGTGCATTTTTTCATTTATGGAAATATGCACTATTGTGCTTGCCATGTCCGTCTGTCTGCCCGTCCGTGTCTTTACGTTTTCGTTGACGAGAAAATGCGCTTTCTGTCACTCACTGCAGTGAGTACTGAGATATTTTTTCATACTCACACTCTCACACAGACATGTTTTTTTAACTTTCTGTATTTCTTATTTGTGATTGAAGTCAATGATGCATTTTTTACAGACATGGTCGTGGCCACACCATCCACCCGTCTCGTGTCAACTTCCGAGCCAATTTGTGGGCCCTGAAGGAGGCTGGCTGTACACACGTGCTTGCTGCTACGGCCTGTGGCTCACTTAGAGAAGAGATCAAGCCAGGCGATTTTGTCACCATCAGCTCATTTATTGACAGGTTCAAAGATGCTATTTTTTAAATATCTTGAACTCTTGTGAAAATTGCACCCAAATTTCCACGCTGACACAACAAGATTCATGTTTTTTGAAAGGACATGTATGATTATCATCAATTATCTATATACATTTAAAAGAGCAGAGATTGTTATTATTGAATGTTTCTGGCTACTCATACGATTTTTGATTGGTTTTACCAATATATCCAATAAATTAATAATTTCTACGATGTGCAACATGAAGAAGTAAAACTAGCAATGCTAATGTTTTAAGAATATATCGATGTGAGAAATTTCTAGTGTAGTATATGTAATGCCTCTTGATGTGAAAAAAAAGTTGTTGTTGAATATAATTTGTCTTCTGTGGAATTTAATTGTCATGTTAAGGATCTTGACTCAAATTACTTCCTTTTTACAAATGAAATGGTTTTGCATGCTTCCAAAGCATCCAAGATTTCCCAATTTGAAACTAATTTTTTAATTTATTTGAAAAACTTTTGAATATAGTCTCCGTTTGAGTTTTAGCATTTGCCAGGTAAGAATTGCAAAGATCTTTCTCCTTTTTAGCCTGACATACAAAATTCTAAATTAGCTTATCGGTTGTTGATACTTGTATGCTGATTCATTAGATCAAATGTTCAATTTCCAAAGATCTTGTGATGGTCTGTCAGGAATTGTAGGGACCTCGTCACCTCGAGCTTGACTTGGAGCATTCAAGGTTGATCGCAAATTGATGTATTGTTTATTTCTGTAGGACTTACAAGAGAGAAGTTACGTTCCATGACGGCTCTTGTGATGGTCTGCCTGGGATTCTCCACCTGCCTATGGACGAGCCCTTCTGCAAGCACACCCGTGCTCTGCTACAGCAGGCTTGCGACGCTGCCGGAGTCAAGTGTCACAAGGAAGGTGTGCATTATCAGTAATGCTGTCCATATAAATAATCTTGAATGACTACACTTTTTCTCACGTATGCATCATTGATATTTTTTCCAATTATGATTTTTATTATTCTGTTTCAAACATGGGAAAATTTATAAAAATGATTTGATCAACATTAAATTTTCATAATATTGTCGCTGTAAAATCATCATTTTCTAGTACTCTTGATTCGTTCAGTGACAATTTGTGCAATTAAATATCGTGTGTGACACATCTCCAAACTGCATTTCACGTGTCTGTCCTCCGTCTTTGTTGCGGCTCATTTCTGAACTGTGGTTGCAGGAGTCATGGTGACAATTGAAGGTCCGCGTTTCAGCAGCGTTGCCGAGAGCAAAATGTTCCGCATCTTGGGAGGAGATGTGATAAATATGACCACCGTGCCTGAGGTTATTATCTTAGTGGATGATCACAGTGGCTGAGGTTACTACCATGGAATGAAATACGATATGCTGTGATGGAATCTTCTCTTTAACTTGGTTGAAAATGTTTGGTACTGAAAAGTTTCTAAGCCTGAATTTCCAGTGCTGATTTTTTTATACTCATAGAATTATTCCTTTGTCCAATACAACGCTAGGTAAATATATTTCAGATAATTTTCTCCATAGCCCAACATGCGGAATTCTGAAAATATTCTAATAGAAAATTACCTTTGTTTATACATTTTCTAGCCGCTGGTGTATTCTGGTTATAGTATTTACTCTGTGGTATGTCACTGAACTTTTGTTTAGAATATATTCCAATTCGGTGTTATTAACTAGAAACGGACCAGTTGCAGTTTATCGAAAATGAGTAAGTTTTCGCCAGCCGGTCACTGACGACTTGTCAAACTAAAGCTGCCAATCGCAGATGAGAAGTCGGCCGCTACGTGTACCTTCATAGTACGGCCCCAGAACTGAAAGTGTTTACCCTCATTGAAATATATCTTGAAATAAAATCTCAGATTCACTGGTCTTCTATAAAAACTTCATAACTGAAGAACTTCTGCCTCGGTGTACCAATAATGTAAAATAATGTGCAGGTGGTGCTGGCCCGGGAGCTGGGCCTGTGTTACGCCTCGCTGGCCATGGCCACTGACTATGACTGCTGGCGATCATCCACAGAACCCGTGAACGTCGAGGTGGTCATGGCGACCATGAAGTGAGTAAATGTTGATGAAATTTAACTGCAATGTTCACTCGGCAACATGAGATTTGCTTTGAGGGTGGACTCGTTTTTTGATTGTGTCTGTTGATTGTTTTGTTTTATTATTTTTTTTCATTTTCTTCACCAAAGATACAACGGTGATTGAGCCACATTTTCAGTTGTGATCCTGATGATTGTGGTAGTTGTGACATGTTTTCGTTTTTGTTATTGACAATACTGGGATTGTGGAACATTATGTTTTGAGTTTTTTTCTGTTCCTTGTGATATGTCAAAATTTATTTCTTATTTTATAAATTGCAAGGTTGCTTATGAATCATGAACAGCAGTGTTAGCTACGAGTAAAATAAAACTATTTTCCAAGTGATGAATCATCCTCAAAATTTTCTTGGTACCGTATGGTTCTGTAGCGTAACTCAATCTTCTGCTTCGTAAATTATGCATATCCTCTTCCCTTGTAACCTTGTCTTTGCCGTGAGGAAGGGCTTGTGGAAAATTATTCTGGTTGGGGATACCGGTATGTGGTTGGTTATTCCTTGGCAGGTTATAGATATTGAAGCGAAACATGTAAACTGGCACTGTAGCCAGTTCTCTTTGACTGTCTTCGTCTTTATGGCTAAAGGAACTCAAAAAAGTTATTTTATTGCCTCAACGGGGTAAAGCAAACCGAGCCTTGGTTAGTTGATGTTGAAAAATGTTTGTAGTTTTTACAGTAACATGACATTCATAAGGCTTCAAACCTGGGTGGTCTTGAGCAAGACACTGATACTAGTTTTGATTGGCGGTTCCCCGCCCAAGAACACTGATTTTGCGTAAAAGAGTTGATCCAATTAATACCTGGATCTGGATTATATGGACCCGCTTTTAAGCTCTCAAAAAAGACGCAACCCTCGAAAAAAAGACAGACGCAACCCTCGGTATGTGCGCTAGGGGGATGCGACACAGCGACCTCCAAACTTATTCATTGTTAATCTCTGACAGATCTAATGCAGAGAAAGCGGTGGCAGTGATTAAGTCAGCTGTTGAGCTCATAGCTCAGCATGACTGGACTGAGATCATTCCTTCCTTGAAGGTGAGTTTTGAAGCTTGAATAATTGACCAAACTTTGCTGTCTCCATGTAAAAACGAGTTTATTATTTTCCTCGCTTACTAATTGCTTAGTTATGAACATTGTAACTACAAAAACCTTCAGTTAATGGTCTACTGATTGTAATGGTGTATGTACTATATCGATTACCAATTGAGTAGCAGTATTTAAAGATGATTTTTTATTGATGAATTACTGGATGATACTGTTGTATGATTCGTGTTTCTAATTGGTTGCACGTTTTAAAAATTGTAATCACTATATATTCTCAACGTTAGCGTTGAGAATATATAGCGTTCTTAGTTCTATATATTAGCGTTCTTTATTCGCATTTTTAATTTATGTGTGTTTGTTTTGCGTTATCACTTAATCAATATTTAGTCATGTGATGATAACTGGTTTAGTTTTGGATATGTAAATCCAAAATTGCTCCATTTATTAACCGTTTACGATGTTATTACTTTACGTTGTTGTTATTTAAATTTTGTAGTATTCCTACTGTACGGAAATCATACCGGTACTTCAAATGTTATCGTAGGCCTTAGTAAGAAGTTAACAGAAGGAGGTAGAAGTATGTATTGTTGAAAATATTAATGATTGTTCTATATTTTTCTTGCAGAAAAGCGTGACCATGAACTTGATGCTGCCTAAATGTTAACGACCTTCCACACTTGCCATCTTGCCATGTTTGCCAATTTTTCGTTCTGAAGTTTTTTGGACCTTGAACGTTTGCATTTATTTTTGTTAGCAATTAGAAGTCAATCAATGCTAACTTGATGACTTTTGTTGTTTATTTCTTCTGTTTGATCTTTGAACGCGCTCAGTACGTGCCGATGTTGAACGTACTCTTTACGGCTCAGAGCACGTGCCGATGCATTGTTTGGATTCCTTGTGCATCTGAAATATAGAGCCGTTATTTCATTCCATGTTATTATATTCTATTATTTTTCGTTAAAGGAATTTGTTTTCTACTTTTTAGTAGCTCAAACTTTTTACGTTGTTTAGAATCTCAAGTTAGTCAGCTATGAGTGTATAACTTGGATTGCGCATTCTTTACTAGCTATTTTTGTAGTAGGACTGATTTTTCTTTCTATAAAAGGCTTCCTGGTACAGAATTGTGACCAATATGCTGCGTTTATTCCTGTTTTTGATTGTATTTGTTAGAACTTGTAAGATTTTTCCTGCGTGGACTGAGATAATATTGTACGATAATATGGCCGTTATTGCAAATTAGTATCAAGCTAGTGATTTTGTTTCTTTTATTTTCATTTGAGAGCATGTAGTTTTTTGGATCAAAGCTTGAAATAGAAGAAAACAACCATATTTCAGTTCATCCTTAGTAGGTCACAGCGGCGCAATAATAACCGTGTAAGCAGATTACTTTAAAAGAAAAGTTGTACTATGTCCTCAGCGCTTAAGCATTGCCTTTAAAACTATTGTTGTTGAGAGAAATATTTTTCTATAGAAATTCGTGAAGGAAATATTTTATCGATAAAGTTTTGATCGGAATAAAGAGTGTAAGGCAAGTGTTGTATTATTTGTATCATTGTTATGCAGGGTGGCCCAGTGGTTACAGTTCAGAGTACCAAGATTAGCGCAGAGAGGCGCGAGTTCGATCCCGGCTCAGTGCCCCAGTTTCTGGTCAGAATTGGCAAGGAGGCCGGGCGGTTAAGCACAGCAGAAATTGAATCAGAGAGTTGTGAGTTCGAGACCGCAACAAGCTATGGATGTTCTGCGATGTTAAGAATCGGCGACAGGCCTATGGCCTATTAAACGCTGAAACCGCTATTATTATTATATTATATCATTTTTTTCTATAAAATCTTGCGCAGCCGTATTGATCCGGCTCCGGGCTTCAGTTGTTTTCTGGAAGCGGCAAATCGAAATGCGCTTCGGACCTTGAGCGCGTCTCGTGTTTTTTGGTAGGAGCATTATTTATGCAAAAAGATAAAGTATAGTCTTTCTGGGGGTAGACTGGCAGAAGCGTCAACTTCAGAGGAGGGTGGTATTGTAACTTGTAGGAATTGGTAGTTAGCTTTGAATGTTCGCTGCACGCTGTACGGCTGTAGAATTTCCGCTGGCGCTGGGTCACCATCTCAATCTGATTATATCGAAAAAATTTCAAAGAACACGCTCATTTTCATGCCATTTGTTTCAGTTTACCAAACCCTATCTATAATTTGTCACTTTCAACGCTGCTACCAACGTTTTAATGCTTTTGCTGCTTTATGTCCGGCTATAACTATAAGCTAAAAAACTGCGCTGCAACTTGTCCACCCAACAACATTTCTTCTCACTTCGAATCACCATGTGGAACAGCCTCCCCAGTGACCAGTCCCCACTCCCCGGTGACGTCGTTGGCGCTCCGAGTATGAACGCGTTCCATAACTAACTAGATAAAGCTATGGAAAAAATTTATGTTCAGATTTTAAATGCCTAGCACCATAGGCCTTTTGAACCTGGTGGAAGTCTAGTAGCTATTTCAAACTATCGTCAGTCTTGAAAATATCCTGTCAAATGACAAGATTTAGATCTTCTATGAACAAGTTACAAAAAGTTCAAGATTTGGCTACAGGCCACATCATGCCTACTCTTTAGCACGGACATCACTATCTTATGTTATGATTATTTTTCTTCTGCAAGATGTCTGTGTCTCTGTGACCAGCGACAATGTGGCTGTGGAGTGGTACAGAAAAAACTTTTCTGTTTGTCTTTACTCTTTAATTAAAACAATCTATTACATGAACAAAAAATATAGTACCACAATTTTCTTGCCAGGGGCCAGATAGTAGATTGTTTATTTGTTTGGCTGTTATCAAACCCATTACCCAATTAATGCTTTCAAACTGCTTGCTGGTTACTGCAATACTGGTAATAAATAATAATGGTATCATCATTCATTCAATTATACAGTTACAGGGTGAGGGTGGCTGGATGGGACAGAACTGATTGAGCAGTTTAGACTTTGGAGCAGTCAGTGCTCTGTGGCCTGTGCTTGCTGGGAAGGACGAGGATGGGAGTGAGTAGTTTTTAGTAATCCCATTTCAGTAGCCAACATGCACATGGTGTGGTCATGACTCATGAGAACATTGTGGCTTTGCTGTGCATGCATATTTAGAGATCAATCAATCTGTGACTGCAACACAAAGAGCTTTTTGGTGGTGGTTCAATATTCCGCGCAATGATACTCTTCCTTAGGCAAACACAATACGGTCCTGGATTAATAGGCAGTTGGAGACTTGGAGGCAACTGGTAGCCATAGCCCATAGGCCCGTAGCACTAGCACACTAAGAAGAGATACACATGGCCAATGCAGGTCCATCAGAACTCAGAAGTTCAAAACGCCAGAAAATGTTGAGAGGGTGAGAGCAGCAGCCATCCACTTGCCAATACGTTCTGCATGAAGCATAGCTACCATTGCTTTGGAAATCTCATGCAGTTTTAGGAGGATTCTGAATAGGGATTTGCATTTCCATGATCCATCCCTACAAAATGATGATGGCCCAAGCACCCAAGCCACCCAACAATTTAACAAAGCAGACTTTGCCAGTCGCCAAAATCTGTGTGAGAACATGCTTGAACAGATTGCTCCTGATGCAGCTAATGTTATGTTATGCTAACTTCAAGGAAAATAAACTTTCTTCTTTATATACCTCCATTAATCTTTTACTTTGCCTCAAAACTGCTCAATTGTTGTTGTAATTGCCCATCCTGGTAGTGGCAACTAGAAAGGGGGGGGGTGATAGGTCAGTTTTTCCAGGCACTCGGTACCACTGGTAGTTCTACGACAATCACTGGCTCGCTGATCCGCTGGAACCATTTGATTGCATTACACAACACCCTGGACAAGCCAGGCAGTCAGTTATCAACCAGAGTTGGATGAATGGCTGAGCTGAGCATCCCGGTAGAACTTGTCCTCAGTGGGACTCAAACCCGGGCGCTGGGTGCGAGAGACAGAGTCTCTCACCACTGCACCACCACAGCTCTGCTCTATTGGTTCTGCCCACCCTGTACTGAAGTTAATTTGGGATTCAGGGTTTCTTTACTTTGGTCATTTGATTTATATTTATTACCAGTTAAATTTATAGCATTATACTTGTTTAAGTTGTTTGTGTTACCATCCAGACTGTGGAGCAGACATACAATTTAGTTTAGTCAGTTATTTTCATTTAAATTAGAACAAAATTGTAGAAATCTAGTGAAGAGCAGCCACAGGGAATTTGTTTAATACAAGGTCTGGCAATAAAGCCTCCCCAGTTTGAGGAAGCCACTATATATATCCATTGCTGCATATGTGCCGTGTTCAGTGTGCGCCATGGCTTGGCACGGTGAGCATCGGGCGTTTGTTGTGGAAGAGTTTATTACAAACGGCGGTTCTGTGATTTCTACTCAACGAGCGTTTCGGATTCGATTCAAACTTGGCCGACATGAGAGTGTTCCTTATGCGAAAACGATTAGACTGTGGGTGTCAAACTTTAGAGAAACAGGGTCAGCATTAAAAAGAAAGCCAACTGGCCCACCTTGTACTGCAATAACCCCGGAAAATGTGGCGCGAGTGAGAACATCCATCCAACAGTCTCCAAAGTGTTCAGTGGTTAAACATGCAGCTGCCCTGGCATTGTCAGAAAGCAGTGTAAGGAGAATTCTGCATAAAGAACTTCAACTTCAACCAAGTAAAGTGTACTAAGTGATGTAAAATGGCATCAAACAAGCTATTCACAAATAAAATTAATTGTTCTGTATGTGTTGTATGATTTTTGCAAAAGCCTGTTGAAATCAGGAAGGTTTTTTTGCTGGACCCTGTAGTATACCTTCCACCTGAAATTGAAAATGACTTGGCAAGTTAGGTGCCTCTTAAAGATTGATTCACAATTATGTGGTGGTAGACTGGTAGATGACCACTAAGGCTAAGGTTCATTTTATGATATTTTGTATGTGTTTTTAATTTAATTATGCTGCAATTGCATGCCTATGTGGACTATTGTTGATGTCAGTTATCAATGTTGTTTTGAATCATTCATGCATACATTGACTAAATCTTTGATAAAAATAAAAATTTTTCCCAGGGCCCAGGCAGCAATTGAATTTTCAAATTTTTGTTTATCCAAAATTTTTACTCCTGGAGACCAGGACCTGTAACNGTTGGCCAAGGGAGTATAATGCTGAGTCTCTTCGATATTTTTGACTGGTTGAAAACCCAGCGGTACTTGAGAGCCCTGCGGTTCCAGAATAGTGAGAATACTGTCCGTCTTCAATTCGTGTGCCATGCAATAATTCAAATTTTTAATCTAAATTAATGTTAACAGAAAAAAGGCCCATTCAAACCAACATATCATAAAAGCCCCGCTTTTAATTTCTATTTGAAAATTAAACGGAAACTTCAGTTCTGGAGAAAAATTAAAATTGGGGCGAAATTAAAAATTGAATTTTTACATACGGCTTACCTTTCTCCCCTCTACCGTTTGTAAATGCCACCTGACTCCACCTCTTGGAAGCAAAATTCTAAATCCAGGCCCACTCCAAAGGTAAGGCATTGTGATTACGAGCTCGAATAGCCCACATATGTTACCAGTGCTTGCCGTTATGTGCTGTTACCAGTGCTTATGTTACCCCACATATGTTACCAGTGCTTGCCGTAACACCAAATCTAAAGTTTTTGACGCCCATGTTTTTAGGCAGTAAAATATACAGGCCATAAATGGATTTTCATAGCATTTTTTATATGCTATAGAATATTTATATGTATTTTATAAATATATAGAATTTTTTCGAATATTACGGCTATAATAATATTTAATTTGTTGTATATTACTTGGCGATTTTTCTGGTGTAAATTATTCAAAATTAGTAAATGGTTTGAGCGTTAATACAACGGCTCAGACTTCGCGAGTTATAGTCGTTGTTATTTAATTAAATGCTGATTAGTTTTGAAGTAAAACATTCTGAAGGCTATTAATAGAATGCACTAGAAAGCTCGTGCTTAATTATTCTGTTGACGAGTTTCTTAGACCATGAATTCTTGAATTTCGAGTTGGACTGAATAATTTGACACCGCCTTGGTTTATCGTCAGAAACATTCTGTGCGTTTTCATTGGAGTATAGAGAATGTTCCTGATGATAAATCAAGGCAGTGGCAAACTATTCAGTCTAAATCGACATTCAAGAATTCGTGGTCTAAGATGCCTACATGGTATGCATACTGATTAAAGTAATTAACATAAAGGACTAAAGGAGCTATCGTGAGAGTTACGAACAACATTTAATTTCTCATAGTCAACTATATTTCTTCTCGCTTCGAGTCACCGACATTTGGAACAGCCTCCCTGATTACATCGTTGGCGCTCCAAGTATGAACGCGTTCAAGAACAGACTAGATAGAGCTATGGAAAAATATATGTTCAGGCTTGAAATGCCTAGCACCATATCGAACCCGGTGGAAGTCTAGTAGCTATTTCAAACTATCGTCAGTTTTGAAAAGTTCCGGTCAAAGGACCTTTTTTTAGATCTCCTGTCAACAAGTTACAAGAATCGGTGACAGGCCACACCAGTACTATTATTCAGCACCGACATCAATATACTATTCTATTCTAGTCTATACTATACTAGTATACTAAATATCACTCATACTCTCGACAGAACGCAGAAAAAACGTTGAGTAGGTATGTCAATGCCAACCCAACCCAATTTGCATTGCTTGGGCGTAGTTAAAGAGAGAGCTGAAATTTCACCAATTGTGGAAGCACGTAATCATTAATTCAGTCACAGTACGAAAAACTCACATACAAATTCTTGTATAATCTGACGTGTCTCACGGCTCTTCGGAATCTACCTTGTGTTAAAAAAATACACAAGCAATTAAAACCGTCAAATCACAGTTGTTCTACAGTTAATACCTTATTTACCACTCTTAGCTCTTGATGCTGACAACCTCATCTTTCATCGTTAAGACTTTAGAGTAAATTGACTGTTTCGATCTGGTGCTCTGTACAAGTTGATTTATGTTCTCCGGAAGTTACTTATTCTGCGCAATCTTTCTGAAAGCAGTCTGCAAGTCTCAATTCGATTATTATTTAAAGTATCTAGACACTAACTTTTTTTTGCAACCCAGCCGCCCCCGAATTTTGCTAATATTACAAAGTTAGTATAGTCTCGGAGAGACGAACAGGTCTCTGAGAAAGGCCTCAAGCGTCTAACTTGTCAAGTCAAGTTATAAGTAGACCAGTAAGTATCATGGAATGGATACCACATACTGTACCAGCATTATCATACTTAAAGTTAAGAAATTGGTTAAAATCTTGAGTAAATAAGGAAATTAAAAATGAACTAATTCTAAAAAGTCTCTGGTTTGTCACTATGGACTAGTAGTAGGAGTAACTAGCCTATTTCAAACTATCCCCAGTCTTAAAAATATCCTGTCAATTGACAAGACTTAGATCTTCTATGAAACAAGTTACAAAAAGTTCAAGATTTGGCGACAGGCCACATTGTGCCTACTCTTTAGCGCCAACATCACTATGTTATTGTTATGTTATGAATTATGATTATTTTTCTTCTGCAAGATGTCTGTGACCAGTGACAAAGTGGCTGTGGCACAGAAAAAACTTTTTCTGTTAGTCTTTACTCTTTAGTCTTTATTATATAATTAAAACAATCTATTACATGAGCAAAAATATAGTAGGTACCAGTTACCACAATTTTCTTGCCAGGGGCCAGATAGTAGATTGTTTATTTGTTTGGTTGTTATCAAACTCAATTAATACTCTAAAGTCTCTAACTGCTGGTAGCCTAATAAATAATAATAGTATCATCATTCTTACAATTATACAGGGTGAGGGTGGGGCAGAACTGATTGAGCAGTTTATATATACTTTATACTTTAGAGCAGTCAGTGACTCAGTGCTCTGTGGCCTGTGCTTGCTGGGAAGGAAGGGGATGGGAGTGAGTGGATTTTTTCCAGCCCCTCCACTAGCTATTCCCATTTCATTAGCCAGCATGGTGTGGTCATGAGTGACTCGAGAGCATTGTGGCTTTGCTGTGCAGTGTGCATGCAGCATGCATATTTAGAGAACAATCAATCTGTGATTGCAATGCAAAGAGCTTTTTGGTGGTGGTTCAATATTCCACGCAATGAAACTGAGAAACTCTTCCTTAGGCAAGATTTAGATCTTCTGTTTAATCTATTATTACCATGAACAAGTTACAAAAAGTTCAAGATTTGGTGACAGGCCACACCCACATTGTGCCTACTCTTTAGCGCTGATGCCTGACATCACTATGTTATGATTATTTTTCTTCTGCAAGATGTCTGTGACCAGCAACAATGTGGCTGTGGCACAGAATACACAATGATACTCTTCCTTAGGCAAACACAATTTGGTCCTGGATTAGGCAGTTGGAAGCAACTGGTAGCAGTAGCACACTAAGAAGAGATACATCATACACATACCATGGCCAACGCAGGTCCATCAGAAGTTCAAACACCAGAAAATGTTGAGAGGGTGAGACCCGTGAGAGCAGCAGTCGTCCACAGTCCACTTGCCAGTACGTTTTGCACAAAGGCATAGCTACCGTTGCTTTGGAAATCTCCTCATGCAGTGTGAGGAGGATTCTAAATAGGGATTTGCATTTCCATGATCCATCCCTACAAAATGATGATGGCCCAAGCCACCCAACAATTGAACAAAGCAGACTTTGCCAGTTGCCAAAATCTGTGTGAGAACATGCTTGAACAGATTGCTCCTGATGCAGCTAATGTTAGGGTAAACGCAGTATATTCTGACACATTAATTAAGGATGTAGCAAAAAATGAATGGCTATAATAAATCACCATATGCGCAACTCGAGTTCTGTTTGCTTTACATCACTCTCAAAACACCGCACTACAGGCCAGCAACAATGAAACGTCACAAACTGCTGCCATATTTATTTAAAAGCCTTTAGAATGCAACCCTACCAAATCCATATATTCTGACGCTGTGTGTGACTAAATTCGGCATTTTGTGAGACTAATTCCTGCCGAGCTTCAAACTCTACTAATTCGTAATTCCGACCCTCTTGTGTTCAAATTCAGATCGCTGTGTGAGCTGCATCAGAATACGACACAGCTCAGGGTATTACTTTAGATTAAGTGCATACAAAAAAAAGGGTGATTTTTTGTTTATATGTTTTTTGGGGTGTAGATAAAGAATCTGAAATCCGTTTTTGGCGGTTGGCATTGGAAAACCGATTTTTATATATTTCCAAAGATAAAATGCAAGTTGAATCTTGGCCCCAATATTCGTGGATTTATAGCGTTTTTAACTTAGCCTTGGTGACCTATATACTCTTGCAACCACGACATTACAGGCAACCACGACATTGCAGCCACGGTTAGGTTAGGTTTTTTCACCAATTTTTGCCCAATTTTTTTGACGAATTGGAGCCTTGGGGAAAAAAAATCGGTTTTCCAATGCCGACTGCCAAAAACGGATTTCAGATTCTTTATCTACACCGCAAAAAACATATAGTCAAAAAAACACCCTTTTTTTGGATGCACTTAATCTAAAGTATTACCCAGCTCGGAATTAGAACACTATTGAATATACTACTTAAGTAGGCTTTTAATTGAGAAAATTTTAATTTTTGCACACAGCAGGGAATGAGCTGTGTGTGTCTAATTCCAAGCTGTGTTGGAACTAGTTAATGTGTCTAAAACCGTCTCTCAATTTAATCATCTATTGATTTATTTACCACTTGAAATCAGCAAATATAAGTATACTCAAAGGATTCCTAATATATTCACAGACTTATTTAAAAGTCTCAAATCGTAATATTCTTTCTACACAAACAGTTTATCACTATTTGGTAGAGCAAGGCCAACTATCAAATTTGACACGTTTTTCAATGTTCTCACTGGGTGACTTGCACTGTCTCTCTTTGGATCTCAACATTTTCCTGCCAGATGGCCCAGACCTAGTGTTTTGGCAATAGTATGGTGCGCAATAGTATGACATCACTATTTCAACCATCAATGAATGCGTAGAACTAAGACAGCTTAATATTGTGGAAAAAAGTTGAGAAGTGTCGGAATTACCCACGATGTCGGAATATACCGCATTTACCCTATGTTATGCTAACCTGAAGGAAAATAAACTTTCTTCTTTATATACCTCCATTATTCTTTTACTTTGCCTCAAAATTGCTCAATTGGTTCTGTCCCACCCGGTACTGTAGTTAATTTAGGATTCAGGGTTCCTTGAATTTGGTCATTTGATTTATATTTATTACCAGTTAAATTTATAGCATTATACTTGTTTTAAGTTGTTTGTGTTACCATCCAGACTGTGGAGCAGACATACAATTTAGTTTAGCCAGTTATTTTCATTTGAATTAGAACAAAATTGTAGAAATCTAGTGGAGAGCAGCTACAGGGAATTTGTTTAATACAAGGTCTGGCAATAAAACCTCCCCGGTTTGAGGAAGCCACTATGTATATTCATTGCTGCATACGTGCCATGTTCAGTGTGTGCCATGGCTTGGCACGGTGAGCATCGGGCGTTTGTTGTGGAAGAGTTCATTACAAATGGCAGTTCTGTGATTTCTACTCAACGAGCGTTTCGGATTTGATTCAAACTTGGCCGACATGAGAGTGTTCCTGCCGCGAAAACGATTAGACTGTGGGTGTCAAACTTTAGACAAACAGGGTCAGCACTAAAAAGAAAGCCAACTGGCCGACCTTGTACTGCAATAACACCAGAGAATGTGATGCGAGTGAGAACATCCATCCAACAGTCTCCAAATCGTTCAGTGGTTAAACATGCAGCTGCCCTGGCATTGTCAGAAAGTAGTGTAAGGAGAATTCTGCATAAAGAACTTCAACTTCAACCAAGTAAAGTGTACTAACTACTAAGTGATGAAAAATGGCATCAAATAAGCTATTCACAAATAAAATTAATTGTTCTGTATGTGTTGTATGATTTTTTGCAAAAGCCTATTGAAATCAGGGAGTTTTTTTTTTTGGTCATTTGATTTATATTTATTACCAGTTAAATTTATAGCATTATACTTGTTTAAGTTGTTTGTGTTACCATCCAGACTGTGGAGCAGACATACAATTTAGTTTAGTCAGTTATTTTCATTTAAATTAGAACAAAATTGTAGAAATCTAGTGAAGAGCAGCCACAGGGAATTTGTTTAATACAAGGTCTGGCAATAAAGCCTCCCCAGTTTGAGGAAGCCACTATATATATCCATTGCTGCATATGTGCCGTGTTCAGTGTGCGCCATGGCTTGGCACGGTGAGCATCGGGCGTTTGTTGTGGAAGAGTTTATTACAAACGGCGGTTCTGTGATTTCTACTCAACGAGCGTTTCGGATTTGATTCAAACTTGGCCGACATGAGAGTGTTCCTGCCGCGAAAACGATTAGACTGTGGGTGTCAAACTTTAGAGAAACAGGGTCAGCATTAAAAAGAAAGCCAACTGGCCCACCTTGTACTGCAATAACCCCGGAAAATGTGGCGCGAGTGAGAACATCCATCCAACAGTCTCCAAAGTGTTCAGTGGTTAAACATGCAGCTGCCCTGGCATTGTCAGAAAGCAGTGTAAGGAGAATTCTGCATAAAGAACTTCAACTTCAACCAAGTAAAGTGTACTAAGTGATGTAAAATGGCATCAAACAAGCTATTCACAAATAAAATTAATTGTTCTGTATGTGTTGTATGATTTTTGCAAAAGCCTGTTGAAATCAGGAAGGTTTTTTTGCTGGACCCTGTAGTATACCTTCCACCTGAAATTGAAAATGACTTGGCAAGTTAGGTGCCTCTTAAAGATTGATCACAATTATGTAGTGGTAGTCTGGTAGATGACCACTAAGGCTAAGGTTCATTTTATGATATTTTGTATGTGTTTTTAGTTTAATTATGCTGCAATTGCATGTCTATGTGGACTATTGTTGATGTCAATTATCAATGTTGTCTTGAATCATTCATGCATAGTGCATACATTGACTAAATCTTTGATAAAAATAAAAATTTTTCCCAGGGCCCAGGCAGCAATTAAATTTTCAGATTTTTGTTTATCCAAAAATTTACTCCTGGAGACCAGGAACCATAACTCTAAAGCAACTAAAGCTAGAGGTCAAGTTTAAGGGGAGCATCTGGCCAAAATTTTTAATTTTGACATTTCCGGTTTTTAGTCTCATCTTAAAGTTGACATTCTAACCCATCCAACATTACCAAGCCATCTCTGTATATTGATTTATGTGTTCACAACAAATCGTGAAAGAGTGGGGTAGTGGAGTTCTTTAACATTTATCATAGGGAATAATTGCCACAGTGCACTTTAAATAGCTAGTCTTAACACACTTTGCTTCAGTAACCCTGCTGCAGTCATGTGGGATGGTTTGCGTTCCGTTAATCGCACCGTCCTTGACAGGAATTGAGCTCCAGTATAGACTAGTCTAGCATTCTTGCCACCTTGAACGCCTATTTTGAGGCAGGTGCACGTGACTTTGTCGGGCTCTACTGAACAGTTAACTTATTGTCACTGCAAACCTATCTCCTCCTAGAGTTTTTGAGCTATAGCAATGAGAGATATACCGTTTGATCCGCAAATAAAAGATCTATCGATTTATTGTAACTGGGTACTCTTGTAACTAAAATTTTCTTCCTTACAGAATCGTACAACAATTGTTGCAAATCCATCATGGGTCCAAAGAAGGTAAATTCAAAGCGGAAGTGTGGTGCTGCTGATGTGCTTGCAGAAGAAGTGGAAGTCAAATCTTCAAAAGTAGCCAAAAAAAGTAAAGGAAGCCTATCACAAATATCTGTCATTTCTTTGTGTTATATTTTTTGTTTAAGAGTCATCTTGGGGGCAAACTGAAACATTTGACAAATTTTTCTCAAAGCCTAAAAAAATTTGCTTCTCATGGGTGGCTGCTTAAAAGTAAGGGCAATTTTTTTTGTATTGGGTTCATGTATGTATATACCTATAATAGTTAATGAAAGACTTTTTAGTTAAGAAAAATGTAAAGAATATCAAGTCCTCATGACGGTGCAGAACTTAAGTGTCTCAATCATGGATACAATTTCTTTAATATTTAATATATGCAAACAAAACTGAGAAATAATTATTTGTGTGTGAATGTGTGAAATCATCCTTGGGCTTCTTTTTTTTTCATTCATGAGTAGCCCTTACCTTAGTGTAGGTACTGCACGAGCCCTTTAGTTTATTAGAAGGTATTGTTTTTTTTTCTGGTACTGCTTGATTTGGTGGACTGTACTACAACTTGAAGCTCTATAAATGTATCAAATATTTATAAGTATTACACACTGGGCTCTAGTTAGCTTCCAACATTGGCTAGATTTATTCCAGTCTAGCCAAGATTTATTGGCTAGCTTGTAATTTCATGTTTGTATAGGTAGTAGTAGATATCTGTTTACTAGAACTGTTTCTAAATTAAACCAAAACTGTTTAATTAATATGTAACGGGGAATAAATTTTCTTCCAATTTTATTTTACCTACGTACATACTGCAGGCTATTAGTTACATTTTAATTTTATAACATAAAAAATCATGTTTGACTACCAATTTCAATTTGTCTATATTTAAATAATTTTACTGACTTGCAGATGGTGCTGAAGGAAGCAGCAGCAGCAGTGTTAATGTTCTTGAACTGAACAAGATTATCATTGAGCATTGGTGAGGAAATGAGTGGCGTTGAGTGGTGTATCAAGTGGTGTTGATGATAACAGTTATATTATGTTGTTCTGTTTAGAACAAATTAATTGATCATGTCATTTAGTATTTTTTCAGAATTTTTTCCATCTATACCCTACAAGTAGAAGCTTTTTTTCTAATTTAAAAGTATTCAGTTCATTCAATATTGGGTTTTGTTAGATAGCAAATAATTTTTCTTCCTAGATTGGGTGTTATTGAAATGCACCTTTTCAAAATCAAGCATCATTTCATCAGCGTGTTATTTATAATTAATATTTGGATTTTATTCTGTATAAGTAAAAGCCCTTGAAGCTATAAATTTTGTATTCTACTAGACTAGAGCTTTGTTAGTTTTTTTTTCTGGAATGATTTAATTGACTGGAATCATTTTAATTGAAGGCTATTATTTTTTTGTAAAGTATATATTTTATTGTGATATCATCCCTATTGGAAGTTTCTCCTCAATTTAATTTCTTTTCTTCTGGCAGCAAATCCTGACGAGTGTATGGCCGCTCAGCAGAGCAGCTCCTGGCTGCTTTGCGAGAAACCTTCCCCAAGTTGGAGGCTGAGATCAATCCCTCCAAACCGCGCTCCAAGTCATTTGAGGTCTTGGCTAATCTTATGTTAAACAATTGGGTTACATGGTGTAATTAATTTAACCAGGGTTTTATGGACGATGTTTGTATTTTTTATTTGTTGAATTGAGACAAGCTAAAAATTTTTTTTTTTGAATTATTCATCATGTTGGCTTGATTTTTTCCACAGATATTATGATGAATATTTTAAAAAGGACTCACAAACTTTGATCCATGGTGATAATTTATCTTTAAATATTTTAAATAGTTGAGCATAATGGATATGCAGGTTAGAAACGTCTTAATGTGCTGTTATATTCAGCTGGTTGTGCTGTAAAGTGCAGGGTAAACTCAGAATTATTAACTTTTTTCTTTTCTTTTGAACTTCCATCTAGAGAGCAAAATTAATTATAGTATTATTTAGAGCATGTATTGTGTATCAGTTGACAATAATATTAGGCTTGCTACAAAATCATGTTACTATCTAATTTAGGACCACTGTATTAAATATTCGAGGTACTTTCATAAGTTGTCTTGTATAAAAATGCTCTAAAAAATGTGTACTTTAAGAAGTTATTTTGTCAATTTCTTATCAATCATTGGCTTCTCTATGCAGCAATGGTTTATGGTTGTAAAAATGAAATAGTCTTATGTACATGTACAGGTGACGGGTGTTTTTTCGGATGGCTCCGAGGTTCTGTTGTGGTCTGGGCTGAAAAAAGGACCGCCTCGCAAGCTCAAGTTCCCTGAGCCTGATGTTGTTGTGGACGCCATCCGCGAGCACCTGAAGTAGAGCCATTCACCGCCCGCAGCTAATGCAGCAGAGTTCTCATCGAAGTTGTATCATTTAATATTGTATCCACATTTCGAGTGTGTTGCGAGTCTGCTAGTAGAGACCTGTTCATTTAAATCTTATTTATTGAAAAATGTAAACTTCCAGGTGCAATTGGTGTCTAATCATTCAATTCAGAAACTTGGATAAATTCTTTGTTCATTCACTAAGCGAGAGCTAGTATCATCTCTAAGAAAATTTTGAACATAATCTCATTTGTTTTTAAAATTCGAATTGGTTGATGATTAATGTTTAGAAGGGATAGTTCGTCATCTTCAAAATACTAATGATTACTGCTGAAATCCTGTGCTATATTTCCTTATTCGTGCTGAGATTGAGAACTCTGACGGTACACCGTCAGGATGGGGACGCCTTCTCCACGACCAGGGGTGCGGTGAGCTCTCGTTACCATGATGGTGGAGACCCACAGGAGCTCGTCTCCCAGTCTTTGCCGGAAAACTTAATTTACGAGCGTTTGCTTTGCCCTTGATCTTGGAGAGGCGTTTGTATCCCTGACGTGCATACCGTCGCCTTAGTTACTACTAGTACTTGTTTGTACTACTGCGGTGCTATTTTGTTGGACTTAGTTGTTTATCTAAAGTTTAGTTTAGTTTAGTTGTCCCATCTGAAACGCATCCACAAACGTCTGTGCCAAGAATGTCGTACATTAGAGTACAATGTTTGGTTTAATGAAAGTAGATTGAATAAAGAGACTGCTCTGTTGGTCGTGTAATGTTTGTAGGCATTGTATGTTATCAAATTATTACATTCAAGATGCCTTAATTTTCGATATCGTAACTCATTTATAAACGGCAGTAGAAAATGCGACGGAAAATCCACTTAAGTTTTCCTGAGTTACGTCTTATTTGAGAGCTCAAATGGAACTTAGCTTGCTGTTTTAGTTGTTGGAATAGTTGTTCCGAAGTTTAACGTACGACGCTATCACAAGAGCTGTATTAAAAATTATAGGTGAATCTGGTCACCGCGATGCGTTCTATAAAGTAAAGGAATGTGTTTGTTATATTGATTTGTTTTTATTAATTTCCTGCAAGCTTTTATGCAACTTTTTCCGAGGAGATTAGTAAACTGAATATTTTTTTTCTACTTTAAGTGCTAATCAAAGTTCAGATACCGTTTTAAAGTTTTTTATTCATGTTGGCCAAGGGAGTATGATGCCGAGTCTCTTCGATATTTTTGACGGGTTGAAAACCCAGCGGTACTTTGAGAGCCCTGCGGTTCCAGAATAGTGAAAATACTGTCTGTCTTCAATTTGTGTGCCATGCAATAAGTCAAATTTTTAATCTAAATTAATGTTAACAGAAAAAAGGCCCATTCAAACCAACATATCATAAAAGCCCCGCTTTTAATTTCTATTTGAAAATTGAACGGAAACTTCAGTTCTGGAATAAAATTAAAATTGGGGCGAAATTAAAAATTGAATTTTTACATACGGCTTACCTTTCTCCCCTCTACCGTTTGTAAATGCCACCTGACTCCACCTCTTGGAAGCAAAATTCTAAATCCAGGCCCACTCCAAAGGTAAGGCATTGTGATTATGAGCTCGAATAGCCCACCCATGTTACCAGTGCTTGCCGTCCAACACCAAATCTAAAGTTACGTACGCACATGTTTTTGGCAGTAAAATGTGCAGGCCATACATTGATTTTAATAGCATATTTATATGTTATAGAATATTTATAGATATTTTATAACTATAGAATATTCTCCGAAAATTACGGCCATAATTAATATTTAATTCGTTAAATATTACTCAGTTATTTTTCTGGTGTAAATTATTCAAAATTAGCAAATGGTTTGAGCGTTAATACAACGGCTATGATTTCGCGAGTTATAGTCGTTGTTATTTAAATGATTAGTTTTGAACTAAAACATTCTGAAGGCTAAAAATAGAATACCTAGAAAGCTCGTGCTTAATTATTCTGTTGACGAGCTTCTTAGACTATGAATTCTTGAATTTCTAGCTGGACTGAATAATTTGGCACCGCCTTGGTTTATGGTCAGAAACATTCTGTGCGTTTTCATTGGAGTATAGAGAATGTTCTTGATGATAAATCAAGGCAGTGGCAAATTATTCAGTCCAAATTGACATTCAAGAATTCATGGTCTAAGATGCCTTCATGGGATGCACATTAATTAAAGTAATTAACATAAATGACTAAAGTAGCCACCGTGAGAGTTATGAACAACATTTTCTTTATCATAGTAAACTATATTTCTTCTCGCTTCGAATCACCGACATTTGGATCCGCGTTTTTGTCCGAGACGTGAAAAGCCTCCCTGATGACATCGTTGGCGCTCCGAGTATGAACGCGTTCAAGAACAGACTATGGAAAAGCGTTTACCATAGAGCTATGGAAAATATGTGTTCAGGCTTGAAATGCCTAACACCATATCGAACCCGATGGAAGTCTAGTAGCTATTTCAAACTATCGTCAGTCTTGAAAAGATCCGGTCAAATGACACAATTCTAGATCTTCTGTGAACAAGGCACGAAAAGGAAAAGAATCGGCAACAGGCCACATCAGGCCTACAATGCAGTTTAATTTTACGTTCACCGCATCTGAGGTTAGGTTTCAGATAGCATAGTTCTGTTCCAAAATTTATCGTCCTTCGACAAGTGGCCGTTCGACCGAGGCCTGGTTCGACCCACGGCCTAGATACGGACGGCTTGAAGTGTTGAAGGCTAGGTTCCGGAAGGCAGGAATCATGATGGTCCTTTACATCCAGGGCAGTGGTGGTCTTCGGCAGGCGACCCTTATTCAGCGCCGACATCACTATGTTACGTATGTTATGTTATAGTTTAGTAGTTAAATGATAAGGTCCCAGAAGGTTTACAAGAATTTTAAACAGGAACCAACACCAGGGGCCACTGCTAAACCTATGAAAACTGCGTTGTAACACATCCACGCTTTAGCATTTCTTCTCGCTTCGAGTCACCGACATGTGAAACAGCCTCCCCGATTACATCATTGGCGCTCTGAGTATGAACGCGATCAAGAACAGACTAGACAAAGCTATGGAGAAAGATATATTCAGACTCGAAATTCCTAGCACCATATGAACCTGGAGAAAGTCTAGTAGCTATTTCAAACTATCGTCAGTTTTGAAAAGTTCCGGTCAAAGGACCTTTTTTAGATCTCCCGTCAACAAGTTACAAGAATCGGTGACAGGCCACACCAGTCCTATTCTTCAGCACAGACATCAATATAATATACTGTTCTATTCTAGTCTATACTATACTAGTATACTAAATAACACTCCTACTCTCGACAGAACGCAGAAAAAAACGCTGAGTAAGTCAATGCCAACCCAACCCAATTTGCCTTGCTTGGGCGTAGTTAGAGAAAGCTGAAATTTCATCAATTGTGAAAGCACGTAATCATCAATTCAATCATTATACGAAAAACTCACTTAAAAATTCTTGTATAATCTTACGTGTTTCCTGTACCTTATTTACTACTCTTAACTCTTGATACTGACAACCTCGTCTTTCATCGCTTAGAGTAAATTGACTGTTACGATCTGGTGCTATGTACAAGTTGATTTATGTTCTCCGGAAGTTACTTATTCTGCGCAATCTTTCTGAAAGCAGTCTGCAAGTCTCAATTCGATTATTATTTAAAGTAACATGCATTAGATTGCCTCTGCGATTTATATTAAATTCAGGGTTTTCTGGCTTTAAGCTGCTTGAGCTCCTCCGATGCTTCAGCGTAACAAAACAAATCTCCCTGCAAATTGAACGCGACGTCAGATACAGAGAGTGCACATCCGCTCATCCATCGTACGCTAAATCGTCCAAATCTAGAGATAAATTACCGAGGTGAGGCAAGTTCGAAGATTATTTCTCACATCAAAGTTGACCTCATCATTTATATCGCAACAATTCTGCGTAGTTGTCACAGTATACGGAAGTTTGGCTTTGATAAAAAGCCGAGCGTAAGATCAACTGATGTCGGTTTAATCAAGGAAGATGGTCGTCAAGTGCCGTTACATTAGACAGAAACTTTCGTTAATAATTTATAAGACATCCTGCGTTCCGGATCATCAATCTGATTATTAGCAAACCGCTGCCGGGTTAACGCTCTGATTAATAACGAAATCAATATGCATCTTTCAACATAAAGGGAGTGATTACTAGAAAATGTCCAGTCCTAGTATAATTGCACATTCAAATACGAGCCTGTAGCTTAATATAATTCCCATTATATAATTATTGTAATGCAATATGATTGTTTAGGTCTGAGGATTATGATGCGGGTACGTGATATTAATGATCATAAGAAGTGCGTCTGTTCTCGTTAACCTGGCGTAACTCATACATTGAAAAAATAATACTAATATTCATTCAAAGCCCCAGCTAGTGTTGTACGGGAAGACATTAAATATCAAGGCACCTCACTAGACGGCATTAAAGTCCCATCTTAATGTCAGAGAGCGACAACGCCCGCTGCCTTCCCTGGAAATTTGGTTCTTGTTATGATACCTTCTTGTTAAACAAAACGTATACCTGGGTTTACTTAATAATAGTTTATATTAAGTTTCAATTAAAAGGTAAATATGCCAGGTTTTTATTTGCCTGCTGAATTTAAACATTTATAGATGGGACTTTTCCTGGGCATTTGGAGTTCGAAGTAAAATAAAATCCCGAGTTTCATCGTTGCCTGTATAATTGTAATGCCGCCTCGAATACTGGAATTATTTATCTCTCATGTGGATAATTGTAATGCCGCGACAAATACTGGGATCATTTATCTCTCGTGCCATAACACCAGGAAGCTCGAGCACTCACTTACCCATCCCAGCACGCCAGGTGGCCCCTATGATTGCCCAGTTTAAGGACCATCGAGGTAAAATGGACTGGAATTGATCGTTAATTGTCACACTCGCTCGTTTATTCCAGGCATGACAACCAGAACGGTAATTACAGATATTTGCCGGATGAGACGTGAATGTAAAGAAATGTCTTGGGTTCATAATTAGCTCAGGCACGGCGACTAAATCAGTGAGAAATATTAATGTATAAGCGAACAGGTTTGTAAGAAAAATTTTGGTCAACGGAATCAATTTTGTTAAGTTTGCTCAAGCCTAAGTAAAAAGTGCCATGACGGATTACTGCGTGTTTTTTACAGGGAAAAATACTTATAAACCTTTGAGGTAAGTGAAGGTCAGCATTAATGAGAAGATCCTAATTGCTCTTATTACCCATATGCCTCGATTGCGAGATCCTGGGTTGCCTACAAGTGACGTTCCTTGAATCGCATCCGCCCTGTTGGAGGAGCGGAGGCGTACAGCAGGCGGTGCTTCTGAGAAAGGCAAGTCCAGCGATCGCGTTCAAGAAAACCATGGATATGGCAGATCAGGCATATAATGCAGACAGCAGGATCATGGCGTTTTATCAAATGACTGTTGTTTGAAGTCATAATTTCGAAATAATCTCAAGGGGACTCTGAGCGTGAAAATTTTCAGATTTTATGGTTCACGTACGCGACTGAAGAGCTGGGGTGCACAATTAAGCTTTTCACACTGCGCGTAGCAATTATACGCTTCGATATTTTTCCTGGCTAAACTGAGTCAGGATGACCAACACAAGGGCAAAAATGCATCACAATTAGGACAAAGTCTCATTGCTTCCTCTGAGTGTGTTGTGCATGAGATATTCTGTGAACCGCTGGCCCAGATATATAAATCGATGAAAAACAAAGCGCCAATTCGGTGAAAGGCAAATTAGAACAGCTTGGGCAGCGAACAACAGATCACTCCTGCACTTATGTTCTTGTTGGTTAATCAGTTCTTAGAACTAAATGATAAATGCTCATCAGGAGCCTCGCCAATTCCGGTAAATTAACCGAGTATTCATCCGCATCACAGATCTCCCACGGGCGGTGATAAATGCAATGAGAAAGTTTTAATTTTTGCTTGATTAATCTTCCACTTCAGGCCAATTGGTTATTATTCTAGCTAAAGATTTAAGGAGTAAAACGATATATTAAAATAAAAAAAAG